GGGTCCGGGCTGGGGATTCAAACCCACCACCTTAGGTGTACGTGGCTGGCGCCTTAGCCGGTTGAGCTATAGGCGCCGAGCCAGACAATTGTACTTCTGATTACCACAGGCCCTCTCTATTCCCTTCCCTTTTGGAGAAAATTAGGGTGGACTGCCTGTGCGCCAGGGATCCTCAAACTTTTTAAACAGGGGCCAGTTCACTGTCCCTCAGACCATTGGAGGGTCGGACTACGGGCCCCGGGACAAGTCGGCTGCTAAAGAGGACAGGCAGTGGTGGCAAAAACACCCGGTGGGCCCGATAAATGTCCTTGGCAGCCCAGGGGCCATAGTGTGAAGATGCAAATACTTGAGCAGGTCATTTCGAAAAAACTTAATGTAAAAAAAGAAAAAAATAAATAAATAAAAAGAAAACCTAATGTAAAAAGCTTACCAGTCCACATACAGCTTTAGTGAGTTTTTTGAATTTTTTGCTTCTTAAGGCACTTGTAGAATCTTCTAACAAAGAATACATGTCTGGATCTAGAAATCTGTAAAAGAAAGATAGAAAACTGATGAGTAAAAGGAAAAATAAATCAGCAAACTAGATTTAGAGACTGAGCAAACCTCACAATTAAATAAAACAGGAAATTTGCCTCTATAGTTGAGATCTGATGACAACAGAACAGTGAACTCACTTTTCAATTTCCTTTTTTGCTTTCTTACTCAGCAGATCCATTTTTGTCATGATGTTAACTTGTGGAATTTCTAGAGAGATCATGGCACTCAAGGCTGCCAAAATGCCAGAAATAAACTGAAGAAGGAAACAGAAAAGGGCAGATGAATCAACAAAGTTACCTGGCCTCTACATAAAGAGAAGCTTCAATTCCCCATGGGAACAAAACTGGCCAAAGTAAAAGAAATGCTAATATTAAAGAAAAACTGGCTGGCCAAGCATGGCGGCTCATGCCTGTAATCCTAGCACTTAGAAATTGAGGCAGGAGGATCACTTGTGTTTAGGAGCTCAAGACCAGCCTGAGCAAGAAAAAGACTCCAATCTCTACTAAAAATAGAAAAACTAGCCAGGTCTGGTCATGCAGGCCTATATTTCTAGCTACTCAGGAGGCTGAGGCAGGAGGACTGTTTGAGCCCAGGAGTCTGAGGTTTCAGTGAGCTATTGTGACACCACTGCACTCTAGCTGGGGTGACAGAGTGGGACTATCTTAGAACAAAAGAATACAAAACAAAAACAAAACAAAGAAAAATTGCCCTTAAGCAGATGCCTGACCCTTTATTCCTAAAGGAGGAGAAAGAGGGAAAAATATAGATTTAATCTTTTAATCTATAGTGATCACAAATACCAATTTAGATAGTATACCTAACCCCCTTTCCTATTTTATATTCTTCAAGAGCTATTTTTTTTTTTTTGAGACAGAGACTCAAGCTTTCCACCGGGTAGAGTGCTGTGACATCACAGCTCACAGCAACCTCCAACTCCTGGGCTCAAGTGAGTCTCCTGCCTCAGCCTCCCAAGTAGCTGGGACCACAGGCGCCCACCACAATGCCCGGCTATTTTTTGGTTGTAGCCATCATTGTTGTTTGGCGGGCCTGGGCTGGATTCAAACCCAACACCTTAGGTGCATGTGGCTGGCACCTTAGCCACTTGAGCCACAGGCACCGAGCCAAGAGCTATTAATAAAATTTGATATAGATAGATCACAGACTGGACAAAAGGTCCTCAGGAAAAAAAACTGTTTTTTGAGAGAGTCTCACTCTGTTGCACCAGGGTAGAGTACCATGGCATCACAATTCACAGCAACCTTAAACTCCTTGGCTCAAGTGATCTTCTTGCCTCAGCCTCCCAAGCACCTGGGACTACATACATGTGCCACCAAGTCTGGCTAGTTCTTTTTTTTTTTTTGCAGTTTTTGGCCGGGACTGGCACCCTACTCCTTTGAGCCACAGGCGCCGTGCTGGCTAGTTCTTCTATTTTCAGTAGAGACAGGGTCTCACTCTTAATCAGGCTGGTCTCAAAATCCTGAGCTTAAGTAATCACCCACCTTGGCCTCCCAGAGAGCTAGGATTTATAGGTACAAGCTACCTTGCCTAGCCTGATCCTCAGAAAATTAAAAACAGGTCCTTGATTTTTCTTGGTAAGCAGTTTCACCAATTTATGACATCATAATTTACTATTTTTTAGTTCAAAATAACATTATCACAATAGTTTAATAAAGGATACTGAATAACTCTGGAATAGTTTGTGAAATGTACAGAATGTTATAATAATTAAAAGAGACTGTCATCTACTTGTACCTATGGTTGAAATATGTATAACAGATTGATTTACAGACCTTGAATGACTCCACCATGAACTGAGAATCAACAAGAAAAACTCCACAGACTCGGAACTCCCACTGTTCTAATTGTTGGACCAGATGTTTCATCACAGGTAGGTGAGTGTACAACTCAATCTGACCTACATAAGGAACATTACAAGAAGATTATAGTTCTATTTTTTATTTTGGTTTGTATTTTTTTGAGACACAATCTTGCTCTATCACCCCAGCGAGAGTACATTGGTATTACCACAGCTCACTACAACCTCAAACTCCTGGGCATAAGTGATCCTCTTGCCTCAGCCTCCCAGAGTGCCAGGATCACATGTGTGAGCAACCACACCTGGCCAATAATACTATCAACAGGAAATAGGGCAAATCACCAACTTAGAGAAACAGATTTTCCCAGTAAGATAAGAAAAAATGATGAAAATTCAATTCCTGATAATATGTTGAATTTTATGGATAGCCTCTCAAAGCAATCATAAAATCTGACATAACAACACCAAAGGAAGCCCAAGCAAACTATCCAGTTTTATGTAGAAAATGAGGTTTTTTGCTGGGCATGGTGGCTCATGCCTATAATCTCTGCACTTTGGGAGGCCAAGGTAGAAAGACTACTTGAGGCCAAGAGTTCAAAACCAGTCCAGTCAACATAGGAAGATCCTATCTCTAAAAAAAAAATAAAAATTAAGCAGGTGTGATAGCTCACACCTGTACTCCTGGGTACTTGGGAGACTGAGACATACACATATCTGGAGCCCAGGAGTTTGAAATTGCCATGAGCTGTGACTGCAACACAATAGTCTAGCCTGGACAACAGAGCAAGATGCTGTCTATAAAAAAAAGGGGGGGGGCTCGCGCCTGTGGCTCAAGTGGCTAAGGCGCCAGCCACATACACCTAAGGTGGCGAGTTCGAATCCAGCCCAGGCCTGCCAAAGAACAATGATGGCTGCAACCAAAAAACAGCCGGGCGTTGTAGCGGGCGCCTGTGGTCCCAGCTACTTGGGAGGCTGAGGCAGGAGACTCACTTGAGTCCAGG